CTAGCACACAGTCGGTCTCCCCCAGAAAAGATTTACAGTCCCCTGGAGACTAATCGAGGTGGCGGTTTTCGGCAAATTGACACCTTGCCGAGCGTATCCGGGCCGGCAATGGTAGTCAGTAGACACTTAAAATGTGAGAAACAGAGCACGCTCGCTCGCATGCGTACAGACCAAATGCAGCACTAATGTAGCACACGTGCCACATCAGTCGCATTATTAGCCTGGATTAGTAAATGGAATCGAAAGCAGCATACTTACCAAGCGTTACGCTGATGCTTATCTATTTAGCCTACCAGTCACCTTTTCGATATTATCCCCTCGTGGTTAAACTGGTAGCTTAAACGATCGACTTGACTGAGGCACACTCGACCGCATGTGTTTGACGTTGATAGGCACCTGTCGCTTCCGTAGGCCGCGTTTCTTTTCCTGGCGCAGCAGTCTTCTACGCTGCGCAACGGCTTTGATCTTTGCACGTCATAGGAGGCCATTCTCTGCCTGTTCTTCCTACTGCCTGAAGTCAACATTAGTTCGTGCTTGTGTCCCGGTGAAGTTGCTTCGGTTCGTCCCCCTTGGGCATGTAACAGGTGTTTTGATATTCTACTCCAATCCATACGTAGACCTATTTGAGTTACCTCAAGTGTTGCATCAGAGGTATGCTGCCCACTCCATACTTCCAACTTTGGCTGACTGCTCTCATGGAAGGATTTTGTCACACCATCTGATGCGAACATTATTGATGAAGTCGCTTCAGATGACAAATTTTATTGCAAAGCGTAAATGTGTCGCTACTGTAGAGTAGAATCACAAGCACCATTGATCTGTATACCTTTAGCTTGTTTCCAGAAGTTAACTGATGGCTCTTTCACACCTGATGTTCCAGCTTCTCAAAGCCGCATATACCTTTAATACCAGGATGCTTGGCTCTCTGGTCATCTGCAAGTCTGTTGACATCGAGTTCCCGAAATAGCGAAATTTTGTTGCGTTCTCCAAACTTCGCCAGCGATTTTGTTTTTTTTGTGCAGCACACGGATTCCTCTCCTTCTGATGGCTAAAAAAGACTGCTTGTCTTTGTTGATGGTGAGTCCGAATTTGACCGCCGTAAAACGAGATCCATCGTTGCAACTCATCCTCGCTGTTTACTAACAACGCACAGTTGCCTACTAACAACAGCCTCCGGATGGTTGTCTCACGCACTCGGGTTCTCGCACCGAAACAATGAATGTTCAGCAATACAGTGCTCCACACAGCCACCGCAATTACAAGCGTGAAAGCCGTTAGGTAAGAATTAAACAGGGCAGGGGCTGACACAATCTTGCTTCACACCGGTGACAACATGGAAGTCACCCAAAGTTTGTCCACACAGATGCACCTTGTGTACACATTCATTGAGTCTAACGAATTTACCTAAGCAACGAAATTTTCCCAAAAGCAACCAGAGTGCTTCAATATTCACCGTGTCAAGGGCCTTGATGAAGTCTACAAACAGCGTCTGGCTTTACTCACGGTAATTTTACTTGAATACCATATCGGCTGGTTCAAGGGCCAGTGTGACGAGCCGTTTGAGCAGGATTCGAGCTATCACCTTCCCAACACAACTCAGCAACTTGATACCGCTATAATTCGTGACACCTTGTATGCTGCCTTGCCCTTTTACAGTGGTAGCACGAAGGTATCCTTCAACCCAGCCAGCACTTTCTCTCCAAACTACACGCGTTCCACAAAGTGATGCAACGCATTATCAACGCGAGTTCGCCGTTTTCTCCACTTCTGTCGGCTCCGGCCCACTCATCGTTTTGCAGCTGAGCAACTGCTCTCTGTGTTGCATGCAGTGTCGGCATGTTCATTTCAGAGCACCGATGTGCGGTGGATCTAGTTGCCACGACTCACATCGCGAGAATAACACTAAATAACAGCTACAAGCTAGTGGGCTTGGATGCAAATAGAAGGCAACGAAAACTGAAACAAAATAATGTGTTAGGCTTGTAATAATGGAACATGGATTATCAACCAGACGCAAGAACTCCACTGCATAACTGCGCTGTCTTATACGGTTTCAAACCTTTGAAGTGGACCGCCCTTAGACCCCATCCAGTCTGACCAATTCTCAGTCAGTTTCTTCAAGCTTTGCCACGTCATGGACTGGCCGCCTCTCGGTTTCACCCGTCTTGGTGCTTCCACGGCGTATAATGCACGCCGAGGAAGCGGATCAACAGGCATGACCTAACCAACCTTGGCGATTAAGTTTAAGTAAACACTGTAGTGAGGCACCAGAAGATTTTTTGCCAAAGTCAACTGGTAGATTTCAGCATTGCTCACTCGGTGTTTCCACCAGATGAGAGTAATGTTTCACAAGCACCAATAGTCAAACATGGCTAAACGCTTATTGTCTTCACTGTGAACTGGATAGGTATCTGATCCATGCAGTAACACCGGTCTTATCGCAGCGTTATACATTCTAGCCTTCACTGCTAGGCTCATATCCCGCCGTTTCTATATATGACTGAGCCTTGTGATAAGCCACACTAACCTTGCTGATACTTGAAGTAACTATTTCAAGGATATGACGGCCAAAGGTGGCATAGCTACCAATTGAACCGCTCCTCCACTTCCATTGGCTGTTCCTTGATAGCTAAAACCGGAGGTGTGTCCATCCAGTTCCGCAGCAGCACTTTGTAGATGGGAGGTACATGCCGAAGCATGTAGCGCTACGCTTTAGTTTGTACAATAGTGTTTCCATACCCAGTGTGCCAGACTCAAGGAGAGCTATGTTGCCTGTCACCTGATAGCACTTCCACTCCGGTAGAGTCTGATAGAATCGAGTCATTAATGATCATTTCGATCACAAAGTTGAAGAGGTATGGGACAACCTTGATGAACACCATTTGTCGTAAGGACCTGAGAAGACAGTTTCCCGTAGACCCTGCCTCGGGAATCTGAATGGAAATGAGTTTGTCTGGCACGCCCTTCATGGATAGGCAGTGCCACAAGTTGGCCTGGTTAACAGAGTTGGGGTGTCAGCAAACCACATCATCTCTTGTTGTTTAATCCCCTACAATTTATACCGGTCAATGTCTGATGTGTTGTTCAAGATATACCCGAAGTGCTTTTATCATGTCTGCTTGATGTTCAAAGCCTGTGTGCAGTCCGCACCTGAAGTAGTATTTTCATCGGCCCCAAGGTGAGTCCATACACTGTCTCAATAGAACCATAGAACTTCTGATGTGTGTCTCGTTCGTCAAAGCATTCCATCTGCTTTACCTTCTCTGCCCATCATACATTCTTGATGCTACGTAGCTCCCTAGTCTAGGGAGCGCTCTGGTTCTTCATGGACACTCACGCTCATCAATGCACCAGTTGTCGCACTTTTGTCATCAAACCAGTCGGGTTGCTTACAGTTTGTGCGCCCGATGGTTTCCCTGGCAGCAGCCGTCACCTATTGACGGATGTGGTGTCACAGGTCGCTCACTGAAACAATGGATTCGACATTGCGGGTAGCTATCACCTTCTCCTATTCAATTCTCTTCTCCATAGTACCCAGAATAATAACAAACTTTCCGCTGATTCACAGCAGTCGAGTATTGCATGAGTGTACGAAATGAATGTACTCTGGTCCGCACCAACTTGTGATCAGTCCTGCACTCAGCTCCACGTAGTACACGAGTCATGCTCACTTAACGCATGTCACCCCGGCGTACGATGCTAGGTGAGCGTGACCACTCCGTGCGTGCGTCCAAGCAGCAGTATCACTCGCACCCAGTGCAAACCGGGTGTTAACGGTCGTCAGGTCGCGCGTGGGGTACAACAAGAGCAGATGTTCAACATTCCCATTGGCTATGACAATAACATATGGACGGATTGCGTCTGTCCACACCGCGGCCTTACGCCCAACGCGTGCTTTGAAATCACACGGTAGGAACAGTTCGTCACACCATGGTACAGACTGTATCACAGTGGACAACTGCGCATAGAACCGATCTTTCTTGTTATCAGGGTAACACATGGTGGGGATATCAGAAAAGATACATATATGCATCTTCCAAGTCGTAAGCGGAGTCATCAAGCTTAGGCTGATGTCAATCTGCCCTCCCACCAGCTGGCCATTTAAGCGGTTGGATAGTGTAAATGTAACCCCGTGTGCACATGGTGCTGTGGTAGCCTTTCCCACCCTGTGGAAAGTGTATTCATCATCATCTTCAAGCGGCATACCCTGGTACGCGAGCCGAGTCTCTCTGATTGGCGCAGTGTCAATACCGTAGCTCAGAGGTTCCATCGCAACTAGTGCAGTGCGTCGTTCGGGACACTCACTCGTGTTTAGGTCGAGTGCAGTGCTTCGACCGGGTCGCTCACTCGTGTGCTGGTCGTATAGTGTGCGCACGTTCCAGCACCCGATGTTGAGCGCTTTGCGCGATGCAGCATGACATTATCAGCGTCTGTGTATTTCTTTGTTTGGTTTTGTACTGGTGTACTGCCGAGGCGTTCACACCTGAACAGAACAATTCGGATCCTCAGTCAAAGTCTTCGATACGATGTTGTCCCGAAAGACATCGGGAAATGCTCTGTATCAGTGAACTGATTCACACGGAAGTGTGTCCTGACTCTTATCTAGAATAAGGGTGTAACGAATCACCCAGCGGTCGCCACGAGAAGGCGTCCAGGTCATAAGTCCACTGCAAGGCATTATCAGCAGCGGGTAGGCGATCTGTCTGAATGTTGCCACTTGAAGGGATATCTTTTCTCAACTGTGTTGTTAATGAGTTTCTTTTCTACGCATAAAATATATACATGTTCAGAGCATGGTTCAGCTTCTCCAAGTTATTCTTTCTCACCTGTCCCCATACTTAAGTCTGGCCACATGCAGCTAATTATCCAGTCCTTTCTCATGACTATTTTCTTTGACATTCTACGCAGCCAGTGTTGTTGCTCTGTTCGTCTAAATTGGATGATTTTAGTTTTTGCTTCACCATCGTAATCTGGATCGTTCTTCTTTGCTTACTGTCTAGTCCGTTCTGGTCAAGTATCCGCTCGGGATAATCTCTCGCGTTCTGCTGGATTTTATGCGCGCTAATAAGATATGGCTCAACCTCGAACAGTTTGTGAGTTCTTGGTGTTTTTCTTTGCTTTTTTTCTTATTGTGCTGCCGCCAATTTCGACGGCTGCATGTTTATTTACGTTGTGTTTTTGTTTTTGCGCTGTTTCAAACGAAAATCACAACCGTCTTTCCCTTGAGCTTATTTCACGGGATACCTTTTCCGATTTGCCTGGAGTCAGTCTCTGTTTCTTTATGCCTGTTCTCTTGTACCTTTCAGGCCATATTTGTCTCAAGTTTTTACCTGTTGCACTCCGTGTTGTCGGGACCGGGACAGCATGTGCTTTAGCCTGTTAGTATATCTTGAATTCTAATGAAGTAGGCCTTGTGTTCGTCTAACTTGAGGCAACTCGCAAGAATTCCGGAAATTCTTTTCACCTCGTTGTTAACACTCCTGTAAGGTTTTAAGAAACAAACAGTGGACCTATTTGACGACGGGTCTTCTTGCGCTTCAACATCCGATGACCGTGCGACGTATATTTCCGGTGTTTCCTTCTACCTCGCGCGAATCGTGGTGCTGCACGGTCGATGGCAAAATAGGTGGATCTGAATAGGAGCGAAATCCACTCGCTCACGTTTCTTAGGTCTTTCCTATCTTGAATTTCACACCATTCTCTCTTCGCTTCCTCTCATCTTCTGCTTTCACCTATCTCAGTTGTTTGCCAAACGGAATTCCTGTCTGTTAGACAACGCTATGACTGCACGTTCACATCGTCCCAAATTCTTGAAACCCATCACATGACTTACTTTATCTTACCCCTATTTATGGGCCACTTTTCATCCGCTTGATAGCTAAGTCCTAAGAGATTGTCTGTAGCGTGCATGGAAATACCATTGCATTTTGCGTCTATTGAAATTGTGTGGGGTATTTAGAAATACTACAGTGTATTTTCTTAAATCCTCCACGACAAACGGTGCGCGCCAGCGTCGTATTAACTCTATATTCCTCTTAGAGCTTCTGACAAAACGCTTAAGCGCGCTTTTCATTGTAAATTCCCTTGGGGTGCGGGATCTATTAGCTGAATGACTACACAGTTTAGAAGACGATATAGTTCTTATGGAGCTACATCCGAGCCACGTTCAAGTGCGTCTGAATACGTCGGAACTGTAAGCTTCGATACGTGAAGCACACGTCAAATTACAAATCATCCCTGCGGAAGCCGGCCAACTTACCAGTCATCGCCGACTATCCCCGCCATCAGTGAATAGATAATCGAAGTAGTCGATCTACTCACTTTTCTAAGCAGCAGTGGCGCCTACTCATCATGGAGTGCGCTACTGCGTGCGTCAATGTGACCTTTTAGAGCATGTCTTATCTCAACGTACGGTGCAGTCTTGTCCCAGTTGTCATGAACATTGCGAGCAGTGGTTCAGGAGTTTGACAACCACATTCTGGGAGCTCAGTGACACGATTCTTTTTTTAAACCATATACTTACGCAGCGTCCTTGGCTTGTGATGAGAGCATCCGTTTGGTTATGCTGTGGTTCACTGGTCTTAGTATCTGAAGACAATTCTCACCGAATCATTTGTTGTAAATACATTGCCTGCGGTCTCATCTCAGTAAGGTTGTACCTTAATGTGATCCAGTTGTTTGCGTGCCCCAACGATCTATTGAGCTACGCTGCGCGATGTTTTTGCACTTGCAGAACTACTGATGCCAGATTGGTCAGAATTGGTCAGATTAGTTAAAAGCCAGACGAACTCAGTCTCCTTTTCCTCCGTGTTGGAGGTTGGAGTGTTATTGTTTCTCCTTCCTTTTTAAACAGACCCCATTGTAATCCATTGCCAAAATCCGGCTGTGCTGCGTTCGTGTGTTCAGACCAGAGCGTTTGGTTGTTCTCCTTTTTAGTTTTGGGCAGCCTAACAGTATCCTATTGGCTGCATACAACAAAGCATTCGCTTCCTTGAAATTAACTAGCAATTGATTTGGAATTCATGAGTTTAGAATACTTATCGATCTTGATATTTGCTTTTGTGCTTCATTCTTGATGCAAAAACTTCTTCAGGCTAAGTGCGCTAGTACATAATATGCTTAACTTTATCGCCAATTATGATGAAGATCGTCATAGCTCAGAGGATCAAAGGCTCATTCACGTGTTAAAATAAGCACGAAAGTTCCCGGGTGATCTGTGTTATAGGTCGTATCCTTTCTGATCCCCAGCCTGAAACCGTCCGCCGACGCTCTTCGGATTGACCGAGTTGAGACTGATCACCACACGTTTGAAAGCTTCGCCCCGTCCATTTTCTTTTCGCGGTAATTGGTCCGGACGATTTTAACTGCCTCGGTAGTTAAACCTTGTGCTCGTACTCCTCTCCTGATGATCACTACCTCATCCTAGTCAATTTTGTGCTCTGTGTCTAGCGCGTACGCCGATACCGCCGACTCTTCTTGGTAGTGCCTCTTATTCAGGTTCGTTTCTCGGTGAACATGCAGCATGCATCTTGTGCTCTGCTTCCTCTGTACGTAGCTCTTGCACTTTGACCTGTATACACATGAAAGGGGATCCTTCGAATGCACAATTTATGGAGAGTGTTTAATGCCTTTAGAAAACCATCCCTATTTTCTCCTTGTTTATTACTCGCCTGATCGCTTCCGAAGTTCCCTGTTTACTAAGGGTCCCTTCCGTCCCAGTTCAGAAACGTAAAACATTGGGTCCCCTTCAACCTCTTGCTCAGAGCAGAAAGAAGACAGATTGCGTTATGTCAACATTTCGATTGTTCTCCTCAGTCGCATACACAATACAAGCAGAAACACCTACACAAATATATGCATAGGAAAAATGGGCACACCAATCAACTCGTCAAAAGCAAGCAAGCAATCGTCAAGCAAGATCTGATAGATTGCCTCAAGAGTTTCTGTGCACATAGCACAGGTGGATAGGCCCTAATTAACAACGCTTCACTGGTTGCCTACCTTATCGGGTTCCGGTTGCTTAATAGCACTTTGAACGCAGTCTTCGTGTCCACATTGTGACCAGTTGTCACGAGGTGTTTGGTGCTATATGCACGGAAACTCTTGAGGCAATCAATCAGATTGCCTTTGTCTTGATTTTGGCGTTTTGATTGGTGTGTCAATCTTTTTCCTATGTATATATTTGTGTGTGTTTCTGCTTATATTGTGTATGCATCTGAGGAGAACAATCGCGATGTTAACATATCTCAGTCTATGTCCTCGTTCTGCTTTGACCACGTCCCAGTTCACTCTGTCGTCTGTTGTGAAGGTGGGTTTAGAGCGCTAAACCTACCACAGTCATTCCTCGACATCAAACATACCTTCGATTCCGCGGATCTATGCGCTTTTTGAAACTGTTCGATCAGGAAAGATGTATCCGAGTAGACCGCTTTACCCGCATACTCTGGGTACTTTATGGCAATTGGTCGCCAGCCCACAATAACTCCAATGGTGAGGTACAGAGATGTTCATCGTCACCTTCCTTTTCTAACTTTACCATGGACAAAATGCTGGTTACCGCATTCAATGTACGCAAATTGGAAGGTGTGGAGTTGCTTCCAGGTTATCGATTTTATGACTGAGTATGCCAACGATGTTTTCTTAACCCATGCCAGCTCACAGAAGTCCCAAGCAACACTGGGCAGATTAACCGTTTCTGTCAACTATCACGGGTTGTGCTTCGCGCCGCTGTCCTCCAGGCTTGACAAGGTCTATTCCCACGCGCCGGCTGTTGGTGAAGACCAGCAAGCATTTGTCCTTAAGTTCAACTACGTAGGCAGCTGTGCCAGCATCTTTAGAATAGGAGATGAGGTCACGAACCGTATGGTAAAACTCGAAGTGCTCTAGCTGCTCTTCGTCATATATGCTTCGGTGCGACATCACTGTCACCCTCAATAGCAGGGTCGGCAGTGCAGTCGTGTGTTCAACCATCCTGTACGATTGTGACATCTGGGCCATTAGACTAACGGGCATAAGTAGTCTAGTTGCGTTCGATGAACCATGCCTTCGCAGTCTGGCTGATGTCTCGTAGGGTCACCGTGTGAGCAGTGAGCGCGTTTGCTGTCTTAATCTGGGCACAGGAAGACTAAATGAATCACTCAGCACCATTGTTCCACTCACCAGCCTCTGACGACTGGGCCATGTTTTACATATACCAGTGCCCCGACTTACGGGACATGCTGTTTGTGCGACCTGGGTCCGGGTGGAAGAAGAGGCGAAGTTTTTGCGGATGACTTGTTCAAAACGAATAAACATTCTTACTTCGTGCATGAGTTCGGTTGGGGTCTCCCGAATTCGTTGTTAGGGTCTGAAAGTAAAGTTGTACACGTTAGCTGCAGGTGGAAACACCTCAGCTATTTTGCCGCAATACAAAACACAAGAAGAAAAAAACACTGGCACTCCGGCTGAGTCCCCAGTAACAGATGGACATCGTTCCGGAGAGCTAACAGCCGGCTATCGTGCCCCAAAAAGAGTTAACTTATGTTTAACGAATGAGATCGTGATTGGAAGGGGAAGCTAAGCAGGAAGGGGATGGACAATGGAACTCACAACACAAACGCCATTGGGGCCGGCTCCTAGTCATATCAGCAAGTGTGTCCAACCAAACGTGTTCATCGTCCTTAGGACCCCGGCCAGGCAGTCGGGATGCACCGACCGACGCCAGCTTTGAATTGGAGGTCTGCATTTCTCTCGACAAAGTCATCGCTTGGCCTCCTCTTCCAACCACATCCCTAGCGCGCAAATAATGCACGTCGCGGGAGTCGGTGTGCTGGCATGCGCAACACGTGGCCCAGTCATCGGAGCCTGGCGTGTGATATGATGGTGCTGAGCGGTTTACTCGCACTTCTTGCATCAAGTGCGCGACGCCGAACACGCTCATTGCTCGCGGTGCTCCCACCAGACATGAGCTAAGCTGCGAAAGCAGCGGTGATGGAATGTGACGAATCTCTTTATGTTTGTAACCTGATGGGTCAGGTTTCACAATCATAAAGGAGAGTTGAACGGACGGCTGCGTTATAAACTGCCCTTCAGGGCGAAGGCAATGTCGCGTCTGCGCCACAGGTGGCGGAGATTGGCAAAAGCACCTCGAGCTTTTGCTATACGGTTCGCAACTTCATCTTCGATCCCACGGGCGTTAATATAGCTGCCCAGTTACTTGAATTTCTGAAGGACTTCTAGCTGATCACCACCAGGCGGGTCCCTGCCAATCTTGGAGAATAACTTTGCATTTCATTGGAGCAATGCATAGCCTAAAACAACTAACAGCCAGTGCTAATCGGTCCAGTGAAAACAGGCATGTTGGGGCGCTGTCACATGAGGGCAATATCGTTCGTGTACTCCAAATCAAGAAGTCGCTCACTTGGAAATATCTCCACTCCTTCTAAGTCGTTTCCAGCGAATGCTGATTCTATGACTTCGTCAACTGCGAAGCTAAATAACAAGGTGACAGCGGACAACCTTGTGTCACACCGCTAGTGATACTGAAGGGTGGCGAAAGTTTGCCATAAACCCTAACTCTGCCCGAACTATGCGCGTACATCGCTTTGACAATGTTTACATATTTATCAGGCACACCTTTTCTAAGCAGGGCACATCGATCGATTGAGTCGAAGGCACCTTTTATGTCAAGAAACACGACGACGGTGGGTCGCCAATAAACATGGCGGTGCTCCAACCATTGACGTAAACTGAACACGTGGTCGATTCAGCCTCGACCTCGACGAAACCCGGCTTGGTCTTTACGGATCTGTCTTACACGAGTGCCGGTCAGTCTGTGAAGAATGACAGGCACAAGCAATTTAGAGGCAATGGAGATCCGACTGATCCCTCTACGACTGCCGCATTTCGAACGCGAGCCTCCATTAAAAATTGGGACTATGACTGAGCGCCTCCAGTCTGTCGGGACGCTTTACTGCTCCCAAACTTTCACTAGCAACTCATGTAAATCATCTATTAGAGCAGATCCCCCGAATTTGAAGAGGGCTAGGGAAATTTTACCTGCCCCTGCGGCCTTATGCAATTTCAACAGCCTCATCTCACGTTCGGCTTCTGCGCGTGAGGGTGGATCCAAGGTGACGGCCCAGAGGGAAGGGCGCTCAACGCCCGGAAAAGGAAGCGTTAACTCAGCTTGGTTATTTTGCCTTGCAGTGTTCGCCCCAACGCTCCAAGCCTTTTGACAGGCTGTAGATCGGCTGCCCACTCGTAGCGTATGGTCTCACTAACACCAGGTCTCCTGCTGCCTGTTTCCCGTATCAGACGGAACAACTTACGATGATTACCAACGGCAGCGGCTGTTTCCATCTCCGAGTCACGATGAGACCACGATGCTTTGCGGTATTTCTTCAGATTAACGCGCCGTTTTTCCCTGAGATTTTTGCGAGCCTCATTATATTCGCTTCCAGCCGGAATACGTCAGTGAGCCTCCATAAGTTCCAGAGACTGTGTAGAGACCCAATGTTCAGTTTGGCAATTTGATTTGCCACATGAGGACATGCCTACCGATAGTTAGGTTTGACGAAAATGCGACCAGTGATCTTCGACGGTGTTTAGTGGGCGCTTACTTAGCCCAGATGTCAGCGCACTTTGGTACACATTCAGAACATCTGGCTTCGCCAGCTGGCTGGTGTCAATCCGTTCACATCGACGTTGCGGACTTCCACCGAAACACACCCGAAGGTCGGCTCAGCCAAGTACGTGGTCAGAGTCCACGCTGATGCTCCAGATCGAGCGACAGTTTTGGACACAGCCTCTCCAGCAGTAGCTGAACGCGATATGATCGATTTGTTTTCATGGCTAGTCCGAGGCTGGTGTGCGCCAACTCGCGCTTCTGCGAGTGCTGTGTCGAAAGTTAGTGCTCGCGAGAAAGAGGCGAGCATCTTCACACAGCTGTAGTAATCGCTCACCGTTAACATTACGGGAGCCTACACCATGTTGGCCGCCTAGATGAAACTCATCAAAGGATAATTTCCCGACTTGGGCGTTTAGATCGCTAGCCAACACTGCAGAGTCCGTGCTTCTTCTATAACTAAGGAGATCGTGAAGTTGCTGATAGAAATCATCTTTCACCGAATCAGTGCTACAGTTTGTAGGGGCGTAGGCCGCAATGGCAAACAGGCACCGTTCGTTCCCGCGCGACTTCGTAGCATGGAATGAACCAGACAATCTAACGGTGCACATCCGACTATCGACTGGGATCCAATCGATCAGGGTAACTTCCGCTCGAGTCCTCAAAACAATGCCGACGCCAGCTTGACCGACATTTGAAGCTGCATCATCGCCAGACAGGCGCAGTTAGAATGTGCCGCATGTGGAGGATCGCGGGGTAAGCACGAAGCTCGAATCTTGCAAGCGGGTTTCCGATAAACAGCAAATATCGATCGAGTGGATATCGCGTGTTCGGGCAAGTGCTGCCTGTTGGCCAATCTGTAGCAGAGTGCGCACGTTGAGGCTTGCGAGTCTTAGCGAGACGCGAGAACTCCAAGGGGAAACGGATGAACCGACGTTGTCCGCTTGGTTGAACATGGACTTATCGACTGGATTGGAGCGACGCCCTGTGACTGTGTGTGAGTTGAAACTAGAAGACAAGCGACTTTTGAGGCAAGGTGGGGGAGGGTCAAGAATTGGGGATTGAAACTTGTGGGATAAAAATAAAGTTGGAGTGGGACGATAATGATGGAAAAGCGCAAGGGGGATAAGAACACGGGAAGACCTGAGCAGTAGCATCCATACCCCTATCCACCCTGCTCGATGCAGTAGATAGGGCGCCGTTTATTATCCTCTGCGACTGCCAGAGCATCAAGAAATTGTTGTAGGAAAGGTTCATTGTATTGCGTGGACAGAATACTGTCGGGTTGCCCAGGCATAGACAGGAGAACGATTAGGGTTCTCAACTAAAGTCTTTGGTTCAAAAACCTTATCGTAAGGCAGCGGTGTTTTAACACTGCGCTGCAGAGAGCCCATTTTATGAAGGAGCCACCCTCGCTCTGAAAGATGATGAATCTATTTGAATGGGTGCACTTTTTGACTTTGCGAAGAACTGACCTTATGACATGTGTACTGTGAGTCACTTTGTCCTTGTCCATCGTACTTGCCTTTCTTTCCACCTGCGATCTCACACTTCCTCACCCAGTCTAGTACAACGCATAACATTATCTTTGTTTCGCTCCTGTTATTTTTATTTTTACAACCGTCTATTTGGATTGTATTGCTGCACAGTATCCGGGTCATCAATCACCTCTGTTTAACGTATAGAATGATGATGATGATTGCCAGCAGTCAAGTTCTCCCCACGGATCACGTTTTCCCGACTTGCATTATGTTCGCCTCTGCATTACCTGATTGGCTACAATGGTATGACGTCGAAATCAGGTATAAGGTAGCTGCAACAGCCCGCTTTGCTAATACTGCAGCTACTGGTACTTCTTGTTACTGTCGAATGTTGCTTGGACTCCTCTTTCCCATATCTCGCTCACTGCGCAAAACGGAAGCGGTATTTAACTTGTTTTCTTATCTTTCCATTATGGTGTCTCAGACTTCTTTGCTACGTTATAGGGAATAGGCTGAGTTGCGTTCCCCTTGTCATATGCATCTCTCTCAATCACCTCACACACTTCTTCCACCTTTGTTCATTCAAGTCTTTATTCGCTTTCTTGGATCGTTTGCTGACGGTTGAAATTCAAGTCGCTCTAAGGGCGTCCGGCAATCCAGCCCTTGCAAACCATCTGCGTCTCGGAATGCTGGCTCCTGTTCCATTTTCTCCTCCCATTCGCGGTGGGGCTCCTTCATTTCAGCCATCGCCACCAATCACACCCACTAGGCTATTTCGTCTCTTTTTCGAAGCAATCTCCTCTGGGATCCTTCTGCTTCTGCGTCCCGATGTTCCTACGACGAAAATTGGTGATGATTCCCCGAATGAATTATTTTTCGGTTTCAAACGACTGGCCGAAACACCGATTGAGATACGAGAAGAGATCACTGTCTCTGCCCAGTTTTGCCTCAGGCAGATCGCCTTCCGGCAGCTTCACAAGGTAATGTGCTCTATGGACTTTGGTGGCCATATCTCCCTTTTATCTGTCCATAACCATTAACTACCACCCACGCTCCTCGAAGGAATGAAGTCGTCAGCAGTACCGACGCTTCGCTGCCGTAACCGCCACCAGTCACTCACGGGTTAAGGATATTGTGAGGGTTGCCCGTTCCCTTCGCAGTCTCAAACTCGCACTCTCTTATTACAAGGCAACCTTGTGATTCTTAAGGCTGCGGGCCGTTTTCCTTAATATGCACGTGTGCTGGTTTAATGCAAGTTTGCGATGTCTTAAAATCTCCGACCTAAGCGATCACTAGATGAATTTGATGTTGGGCTGTCAATAAAACAACAATCCAGTTTACATACAACTAGGTTCTAGCTGCGGCTTTTGTCTGTTGGAAACCGGTCTCCATTCTTCAGGAATGATTCCAGTATCATAAGCCGATGCGTCCATTTAGGATAACTTGCCAAGGATTTTAATGGTATAAGTAGAAGTTCATCACATCTAAACTCAATCAGACAGCCGTCACGCACTCTGGAAAGCGAGGTACGACTGTTTCCTCTTTTCGGGAAACGTCAGCAGTGTGCATTCCATTTGACCTTTGCAGGGCTCGAATCTACAGCTCATTCTGTGGTTAAGACTACTAAGTTACATGGCGAAGTACGGACCGGCATGACTAGTTTCCTAGATGTGAAATAGCCCCACATCGTCCAGATTGAGTGTCCACTGCTGATGGTTGGCGGAAGAATGAGACAACTATACAGTGCCTTTCTGGGCGTATGATGGTTAACTGACAGTCGAGATGTGATACGTTTCTGTCTAAAATCTAACTAGTTTGCTTGAATGGTTAGGTAGCAGTAAGCATTTTTTTGAACTGCATCATGCCGTTCATCGTGTGAGACCCCTGATTTGACCGATTCTGAGACTTCGGCCAATATTCGCGACTACTTATGCCATTGCCATATATTGTGTCACTGATGACCCACTTTTCCGTCTCATCTAACCGTTGGTCGTTTTCCATTACTTTAACAATGTTTCGAATTCCGGTGACACTTGGACGTGGGGTCACGTTGCTTTTTAGAGGTGTCACGGTTACTCGGGCCTCATGAGAAAGGTCGTAGTCACTTCTCTACATCACTCAACCAAGATCAAAGGCAGGGACGCTGTCGCGCATGACGTTTAGATGCAGCTTAGTTTAGCGATTGATGAGTTTATGTTTTCTCAGGGCTTCACCCTGCTTGTCGATTCAGGGTCCCTTGTTGATCAAGTGAGACTATGACCTGTCATGTGTTATGTTTTCATTTTCCCTTAAAGCGTCACATCCGGAGGCATCACCCAGACTGTGGGGACGCGAACAGCGGCTTCCCAATGTGCCCTTCGAAGTTCCTATTTATACTACTTTCACAGTTCCAAAAGCTTCGTCTATTAGTGCTCGACAATGATTCAGTTATGCATTCATTTTCATAAGCACGTTATTTCGCCCACAGGTTTTGCGAATGGAGCCTTTCTCTAACCACCAGTTGCGTCACAAAGGTTCGACTAACGACGCGTCAGGCCTGCCTGAATCAGAAGTCAATGGTGAACTTCTCGGTAGCCAAGACGGTGCTGTTGGTGGCGGGAAACGTCGGCTAACAGATAGTGAGATGGACCATGATACGGATGATGATGATGATTGCTCCGGTGGGAAGCAAAATCAAAGTGGGGCCAAGGCATCGGAACGCCCCTATCAGAACTTGACTAGGCCAGTTGAATCTATCTCGTCGACGGACGTTTCTGCGATGAATGATTCAGCATCTTCTCCGGTAAACAGAATGTCATATGGCTACAAACGTAGCCGTCGAGGTCGTTAGTTTTCGTGGATCCCCGGTTCACTTACCAACCGCTCGATTTCCACTTCTCTCTCGGATGCCCTACTCGCATTTTCCACTCATCGTAAACGTTTTGTTGCATACACTTTTTGCCTAATTATTGCGTATTTTCTCTTGCTGTCACTGGGTTGAGTTACCGGGCTCATGATTTCAGCGTCTTTCGGCTCCATTTCCTCCGACATTAATCACTGCGTCTGCATTTTAAGCTCTCACTGTATCCGCATGGTAATCGGCTATCTGTAACTCATAGTATTCTTTAAAAGGTTTTAAATCGTTTTTTTTCTTGGCCGCGATAAGTATGCAACACTTGCTATCTGTCTTTCAAACACGACGAAGCCCAGCTGAATTCCAGATCTCTGCATTTCCCCATTATCTCGTTTTGTAAGTTTCGGAAGAAAAGCAGTATGGTGTGTTTGCTTTAAATCCCCAATTACAGAATTGGGACCTTAGCGTTTATGACGTGTTTGAAAAGCTCTACTGCTAGTAGCCGTCATCTACCACTTATTCAGTTTATTCTCACTATTGTTTTGGTGTAGAACACATTGATTCCAGGTGCTCGACATGTTTCTATTTAGCAGGCAGCCACCCTAGACCCAGTTGTGCACTCTGACTATCTCATTTTCGAGCCCGGTGGGCCGTTTCACATTGCGTCTTCCAAAATCGCATTGGTCAATGTGTGGCACATGCTGTCTCCAACAAAGCGGTAGTGCGCACGCTGCGCTTATAGTAGTGTAACCTATCTAATACTAAAGAATGTGCATGGTGTCCACTTTACTTCCAGCTGTAATACTGAAAACGATCTGCTCAGATAGATCTCAGTGAATAGATGCTTGTTTGCGAGGTTTATTCTGTCTCATTAAATCCTAACGAATGTCTCTTCAAACACCCGTTCACATCCAACCAAGTGTTTTGCTAGTGCTATTTTTCACCTCGATAATAGTGATTCACCTCTTCAATTGTCTGATCTTCACATTATTTGCTAGTTTATGTTGGAGATTACTACACGCGATCTAACTTGAGGCCTCGATTCACCTCGTGGTTAGCCTCTGTCAATTCGTTCGCAACCCATCCACGCATCCAGTACACGAAAACAGACTGATGTCGTATTCCTGATCGTTGCGATGAACGTTGCTTACAGAACCCGATGATATGTGGGTAAAGAGGTCGGGCGACAATTCCCACGTTTTGTATTTGATTCCCGGCTCGCCTATTGCTAACTGACAAACATTAAATGGGTGATGTGGATCTGGGGCATAAAATACGCAACTCACACCTCTAGCACAGTCGTTCTCGTCGATTCACCTGATGCCCACCGAGGACAAGCCGTTCTATCCACAAATGGGCAACACTGCTATCAATTTCAGCTGGCACACGCGAGTGCAAACTTATCCTTTTGAATACCGTATTCAAGGCGCAATATATTATGCCCAACTTCCTCGAAATGTTGTCAAAGACCCTAAACATTTGCAAATCTTTCTTTATATTCACTTGGGATATGTTATAATGTCCGACCCACAACACCAAAAAGTTGTTCTTATTCCTTGGGTAGACGTCTTCTGAACCGAATGATCACGAAATAGGGACCTGAAACTGCCTTAGATTTATACGCGTCTTTACTTCATATACGTGTCCTGGTAAGGTTTTCCAGATACTAATTGCTCAGCGCTCAAAATACAGACGGTCTGTGGCTTTCTTCATAGCTGGTACTACGAGCATTCGTTTGTGTCCGTGTATGCAGCTTAGGGTACGTAAATGGAGTACCGTCCTCATCATCACGTTAACCGAAAGTACGAAACCCCCAGTCAATTTTCTGCAATACAAAAAAGCTGAGAGGTTAAACACTACCAAAGCTACAAGAAATCAACAGTGCTAAAATCATATGCATTGGGTTTGAGATCGATGAGGAGAGGGAACCGGGAGTGGTGGGGCGAGACAAAGGGGCTCACAACACTAATGCCATTGAGGTCGGCTCCTCAACATGTCAGCTCGTGTTCCAAACCAACCGTGTTCCTCGATTTTCGTACCCCAACTCGGCAGACGGGAAACACCAACCGATGCCAAGTTCGAAGTGAAGGACATAATTTTTCTTTACCAAGTCATCGCTTGACCACCCCTCCTTCCATCTAGATCACGGGCGCGCAAACAACACACGATGCGGGAGCCGGTGTGCTGGCATGCGCAATATGTGGCCCAGCCATCGAATTCCGGTGCGATGTAATGGTGCTGAGGGTTTCATTCGCTCTACGTACACCAAATACGCGGCGCCGAACACGCTCATTGCACACACTGTGTTCCCACCACACATGAGCTAGGCTTCATATGCCGGGATTGTCGAAGGCGACAAGCGTCTTTGTCTGTTGAGGTGATGTGCTAGGTATCACACCTGTATAACATGCTTGGACAGACGACTGCATTGTAAACTCTGCACTTCGGAGCGATAGTGTTGTCACGCCGTCGCTATAGGTGACGGCGATTGGCAAAGCATCTTTATGTTTGGTGACCTCATATTTGATCCCACGAACGCAAATATAGCTACCATGGTGCTTAAGTTTCTGATCACCGCCAAGCGTCCGCGCAGGAGTGGATCCCTGACAATCTTGGATGACTTTGCACTTGGATGGTGCAAAGCATAGTCCGAAACGACTGACGGCCAGTGGTAATCTGTCCAGTGCAACTCGGCACGTTCGGGAGCTGTCACATATGACGACAATATCGTCGGCACACCAGGAAGCAACTCCACATCTAACTCGTGTCCTGTGAACACGATCTCCGTGACTTCGTCAATAGTGAAGTTAAAAAGGAATAGTGACAGCGGGCACCCTTGTCTTACACCGCTGGAGATACTGTAGAGCGGCGAACGTTTGCCGTAAACCCTCACTCTGTCCGAACTATGCACGTATAGCCCTCTGATGATGTTTACATATTTTTCGGGCACCTTTTCTGAGTAGACCGTCCCAATGGCACATCGATCAACCGAATCGAAGGTACCTTTGATGTCGAGAAACATGGCTAAGATGGATCGCCAATAAACTTGGCAGCGCTCCGAAAATTGACCTCATGTGAAGATGTGATCAATGCAACCTCGATTTCGACGAAACCCGGCCTGCTCCTTGCACAACTGTCTTTCACGAGTGCCAGTCAGCCTCTGGAGGACGATAGAGGCAATCGAGATCAGACTGATTCATCTATGCTTACAGCATTCTGAACTGGAGCTCCACTTGAAAATTGGGACTACAACAGAGCGGCTCAAGTTTGTTGGGACAGACTCCGGATCCCATCGATTCACTTGTAAGTTATGTGATCGTCCAGAAGAGCAGGTTCCCTGAATTTGAAATGGGCTGGATGAAGTCCATCTGCTCCTGCAGCTTTGTTCACTTTCAACCGTGCAATCTCCCGTTCTATTTACGCATATTAGCGCGGATCCACGGGGACGGCCCAGAGAGTAGATTGCTTAGTGGCCAATCGAGATGGCAATTCTGACCGAACTGCTTCTCAAACTGTTCGGCCCAGCGCTCCAAGCGTTTTGACAGGTTTTTGGTTGGTTATCCACTCTCGTCGCTTATGGTTTGGCTAACACCATGTCCGTGGTACCCGTTCCTCGTATCAGACGGAATAATGCTTACGAAGAGCAGCGACTTTCGCCATCTCCGAAGCACGATGAGACCCTCAGGCTTCACGGTCTCTCTTCAGAGTAGCACGCAGTTTCACTCTGAGCTCCTTGCGAGTCTCGTTATATTCGCTTCCATCCGGAACACCTCGGTGAGCATCCAGAAGTTTGAGAGCTTGCGTGGAGACCCAGTGTGCAGATAGACGATTTAACTTGCCACTTGAAGACGCCTGCTGTTAACAACACCTGGCGGAAAGGCCATAAGTGATTTTAAACTGTGTTCAGTAAGCGCCTACTCAGCTCGAATGTCAGCGTACTTTGATACGCATTCATAGCATCTAACTTCAGTTAGCAAGTATCTGTGTACTTAAAGTGTCGTTGCGGACGTCTGCCGAAACGCACCCGAAGGTCGGCACAAACAAGTGCGTGGTCAGAATCCACCCTCGTGCTCCAAATCGAGCGATAGTTTTGAACGTATCCTCTCCAGTGGTAACTGATAACGATGTGATCGATTTGCGTCCAAGGCTGGTGGTCGCCATTCACTCTACTGCGCGTGCTCAGTGGGAAGTTAGTGCTCGCGAGAAAGAAACGAGCATCTTCACATTGTTGTAGCAACCGCTCACCGTTATCATTACGGAAGCCTACACCGTGTTGGCTGCCTGGGTGGAGCCCGTCAGTGGATACTTTTCCAAAGTGGGCGTTCAGATTACCAGCCAGCACCACATTATCCGTACTTTTTCTGTAATTGAGGGGAGCGTTTAATTGTTTCAGAAGTCGTCTTTCATGGAGTCGACGCTACAATTTGTGGACGCGTAAGCCGCAATGACAAGCTTCATTTGTCCCTGCGCGACTTCGATGCTTTGAAGGAACCAGCCAATCTGGCTGGGCAGCTTCAGCTCGCAGTTAAGAGGAATACCCACGCCTGCTTGATAGGCATTTGAAGCCGCGTACCCTCCGGACAAGGCCAATGAGAAAGTACCGCTAGTACCGCTCGTTGGGGCTTCGCAGGGTAATCACAGACCGTGAATCTTGCAAGCGCCTTTCTGATAAGCAGTGGATATCGATTGATAGGGTCTGCAGTGTTCGAACAAGTGTTTCCTGTTGGCCAATCGGTAACCAATTACGCACATTGTGACGTGTCAGTCTAGCGAGGATCGAAGGCTCCAAATAGAAGCAGATGAGCTGATGTTATCCACTTGGCTGGACATGAACTTTTCAACTGCACCGGAGCGACCCCCGCAATTTCGTGTGAGTCGAAACTAGGAAATAAACCATTACTGAACCAAGGTGGAGGAAGGCAAGGTATGGGGGTTGAAAAGAGAAGGGATAAAGTGGTTGGAACAGGACGCTAAGGATGAAAAAGCGCGAGAGCCTGAAGAAGACGGGAAGGTTTGAGCAATAGCATCCAAAACCCTATCTATCATGCCTACGTTATAATCTTCTCACTAGACGTGATTCCGAAATTGGCAATTTACTGGTCTATAAAACTTCTA